AAAAAAAAAAGAAAAGTGGAAAATATGATCTAATCTGCAAGTTATTTCATCCTCTGGGTTGGGAGAGGCTGTTTTCTGTGAGGTGAATAAACAACAGAAATGATTCATTGTTGTTGTGAAAGCTGGAGCAGTTTTTTTTTCTCGCTTTTTTCTGCAGAGCAGCGCTTCTGGCACTACTTGCAGGCATAACAAGATCCCAAAACAGATACAAAATTTAATTTATGAATATGAAAATTATAGGAAAATCTTAAGCAGAATCACATTAAAAAAATCCCAGTAGAAAAATTATTTTTCATTTTTTGGAGTTTGTGATGTTTATGGTAAACATTAGCTTACCATGAACATCTTGGTTAACCTAAGTATACCTTTTTACAGGGCCTTTAAATAAATGCAGTTTTATTTGCTTTCCCCCATATACATTACATTTGCACAAATAAATATTTTTAATATATATATTTTTGAACCTATTATGTGACTTTCGCAATACTGTGTGGAGGGAGGATGAGGCGTGGGTCTTGGGGGAGCCGCAGTGGAAAGCTGCCTCTGAACAGGAAGAGGCCTCCAGCTGATTCAGCGGCAGCAGGAAGGGCGGCCGTTTGCCATCGACAGAACAGGAAAAGGAGACAAACCAGAACAAGAGCACAGCAGACCAGAAATACTGTCAGGAAAATACAGGAGAAAAAAAACACAAAGCAAAAACAGCACAAGCACTGAAAGTAAAAAGAAAATAAATAAAAAATATAAGAAGACAGATCATTGCAACTTCACTGCATATTATGCAGCTGCATGTATGACTGATGTCTGTGTTGACTTTATAAGTTAACTTTTTTAGAGCATTAAGATTTAAATGTTTCTTTCAGGGACAAAATTCAACAAACCCGAAAGCCTAATCAAACTGTAGCTTTTATTATTTCTTTTTTATGTTTTGATTTAAGGAGGCGACATTTTCTTATAATCTTGTACAATGGTCCTGAGCGATATAAAAAAAATACTGGACATTTACTGGAATTTTTTTATTTATTTTGATTAAAAATAACTAGCTGCCTAAAAGAGGACAAAATGAAACTGTTGTTCTTAATTATACAGCAGATAAACAGTATATGTGAAAGTCAAGGCTTGACAATGGGAATCATGTTTTTGCTAAAAAAGTATTTTATAAGTTAAACTGTTACCTTTCAGTTTTTCATAGGTTCAACTAAAGTAATGGGGAACAGTCGAGTCTTATGACAGTTTGTTAAAGACAAAAAATCTGCTGTTTTGTTTTTCTTTAGTTTTTTCTTTGCTTATTTTTCTCCACCACTTAGTTCCTGACCTTTTCATAAGATGTTCTTTAAAAAGTTGATTCTATACGATCCAGTCTTACCCAAGTTCTTACCTCTGCAGTGCACCTTGTTCCTACTTATCAGTTAATTAAATAACGTAAATCTTCCCTACATTTCTCTGGCTTCCTGGGAGTCCTGCGAATAAGACAAGCACTGTATTTTTTTGTCAGTGACTGTTATTGGGCAAGAAGAACATGGCTGAAAACAAAAACAGGATAGATTCAAGAACTAAACTGAAAACGAGTTGAAATGTGTGTAAATGTCCAAATAAAAACTCTAAAAAATGTTCGGAAACACTGAGGAAATGTTGCTGGAAACCACCTCACAAACTGACCAGATGTTTTGGCTCGTTTTGACGTAAAATACAAAGAACTGAGAGGGAGGCTCAATACTTTTTGTCTAGAAAACACCACAATAATCCTTACAGCTGATAAATTACCACATAAACGTTTTTTTCCTGAACACATGGGGACAAAAAGTCCAACAGTTAAAAGTCATGCCGTCATGTTTATTGCAGGTACCAGTTTACTTCAGCAGGTGGCACAGTTGCACCATTTAGTGGAATCTAATCTGAACTGCTTTAAGTAAGGGAAAATGATGTCAGGTATATTTTTCTTTTTTAGCTAYAGTATATCTTAAAGCTTCTTTTAAACCTTGAACTAATACAAAATGTTGTGTGAGCACCCACTTATTGAGAAAGAGCACTGTCGTAAAAGGAAAGCAGAGCTGCTGCAGTAAACAGACATTTTTAAATAAGTGTTTTATTTTATTTTTTGTTTTTTGTTGGGAACAGGGATGTTTGAAGATAGCAGTGATCTGTAGGCTACAGATGCAGCTCAGCAACCTAAGCTTTTAGCAGCACAAATAAAAGAATAGCTCAGTGCCTCCTAAGTCAGTCCTAATAGGTACAGTATTCTACCTGATCTTAAAAAAGAGATCTTCTGCCTCCTGGTTTCAGAATAGAGAATCCTGACCGTCACCCAGCACTCAAAAGACAAATACAAAGTGGATGCAAAATATTATTTTTGACATTTAAATGACTTTTTTTATATAATGTTTGTAAATATTTGGCACTTTTTCTTGATGAGGATCTACATCATGTTGAGGCATTTTCTGGTCTCATTCCCTGATTCTTTGCAATGTAGCTTCTTGCCGATCTGGAAAACAACAAGATGTTCTCAGATGATCTTGAATGTCAGAAGCTGCTGATGGAGGCCATGAAATACCACCTGCTGCCTGAACGTCGACCCATGTTCCAGAGTCCAAGGACAAAACCGAGAAAGTCCACTGTGGGGGCACTTTACGCCGTGGGAGGGATGGATTCTACCAAAGGTATTAAAAGAGAAATACGAACTGATTGCTGCCAAATGTGTTATTGGGTGAACTGTGAGATAATTTTCTGCTTCTTCAGACTTTAATATCTCTGTTTCAGCTTTTTCAGCAAAGTCACAGAAAATGATTTTTCTCTAGTTTAGCTTATAACAGGCACTTTGTTGTTGATTCCAGGGTCCACCACCGTAGAGAAGTATGACTTGCGGACAAACACCTGGGTCCAGGTTGGAGCCATGAACGGACGGCGGCTGCAGTTTGGCGTGGCAGTGATAGACAACAAACTGTATGTAGTTGGAGGGAGAGATGGACTCAAGACGTCCAACATGGTGGAATGCTACAATCCCATCACCAAAGTGTGGTCCACCATGCCTCCAATGTCCACACATAGACATGGGCTCGGTAAGACTTTCCCAATAAAGACAAACAATGCACACATTTCCCAACTGATCATTATTTTTCAGATTCCAAAACATTTAGCTTGATTTAAAATAAGAAGCTGAAACTTTGACCAATAAAGCTATCAATATTAGCTAACACAGTGGTTCCCAAACTTTTTCTGCGCCCCCGAAAAACAAACAAACAAACAAACAAACAAACAAACAAACAAACAAACAAACAAACAAACAAACAAACAAACAAACAAACCTACTATGTCTCTCTATCCTTGTGGAGATTTTGCATTGACTTTCATTCATTTTTTTGAAATTTTATGTCCTAACCCTGACCATTTACCCTAACGCTAACCTCACAGGTACCGACCTGACCCTAAAACTAACTTAAACTCAATTCACACCTTGGTCCTAAGCTGACCCCCGCCCCCCCTACCCACCCACCCAAAATCAGCTTCCAAAGTTGTGGGGACTGGGCTTTGGCTCCCACAAGAAACATCCGGTCCCCACAAGGCTGCATTTTCCTGAAAAATCATCCCCACCAAGTAGCAAGAACTAGGCCCCACGCACACACGCACACAAATTTTAATGGAACTCTCTCAAATGGTACATCTACCTGATTCAAGATTTCTGCCATAAAGAATCAACCTTAGCATAAAACCAAAATGGCCAAATTTCATTTAAGATTCCAGGCTAAAACTTGTTGTGAATGTAGCTAAGACTTATCCCAACAAATAATGCTGACAAATTGTGCAAGACCTTTGTTTAAAGGGCCAGCCAGTGTTATGTGTTTCTCAGGCATACAGTTCAATTCTATACTAAAATAAAGTAATGGTGTCACCTCCTATCGCTTCCATCAAGCCCATTTCTGCACATCATCACAACAGTTTACATGCCGTTTACAACCGGTCTTAGGAGCGTTGTATTTTRTAGTAATATTAATAAAGCATAGCAGCAGCATTATACAAYATTGATTTTGGAAAATAGCAACTCAGGATACAATTAAACCTTACTTGAGTGATCCCACGTCGAACCCGGAAAGTACACTTTCTGAAGAACTGGAGCGAGTRGAGAGAATGGTAAAATATCTCCCAGTCATYCTYACATACACACGTCAATGTTAAGCTAATTTATCAATTATTAAAATGTGCTGCAAGCTAACTAAAGCCAACTAAAGAACACAGATTGTAATATAAGTTAAGAATGCTGACTGTAGATCACAGATRGACCAAACAACCGAACAAAACAAYGYRAGTTGTTTTTCAGCTTACCTGAGCAGAGAACAAGGATTTTTGTTTCCTTATGAGTGTTGGAATTGAATGGTCTTTTAGTGATAATCTTGTTATTAGTCGATTGTGAAATTCCCTTTTGTTTAGAAAGTTATCATCCATAAAGTGACTCGCACAAATATAGCATTTTCCTGGAGGGTTACATCCAGAAGCGCAACCATTTTTAAAGAACCGTTTCATCCATGGGAAGCTTAAAAAGAGGATAGTCTCTTTGGCATCCAAAAATATATTTCCTCAAAGACATTTTTTTAATCTGGAAAGGATTGGACTAAAAAAATAGTATTAGGAGCTCAGCAGCCGTGCGGTTTCACTAGTTGTTTGCTAGTTGTTGCTGCTGATAGCCTGCAGGAGTTGCAGGGGAGGCATGCTCTGTGATGCAGAAGTTCGGCTTGGARACTCAGCCCAGAGGAGGAGCTGGTCCTAAAGGGCGGTTCTAGGCCCAACCAGCCATTTTTGTTCTCCTGAATAGCTGCCACACAAAATTACAGGATTTCACAAACATGCATGCAAGCCAAAACAATACTCTGGGTATGTTTTTGATGAGGGAATGATATTATAACATGATATAAAGCTAAAAAAAAAAGATTTTACATGACTTTGCCCCCTTTAAAATGTTTGTATGCAAAAGCAACAGGTGACACACATTCTGTCAACTAGTTTCATTGTTTAAATCAAAATTTAGTTTATGTAGCATGAAATAAGTGTGTAAAATTCCCTAATATCATATTATATTTTTTTGTTTTGGCTTTTAATTTAAYGCTATAAATCCTCAATAATTGCAGGTCACTGTTCAGAATGGTCAGAAATGGTATGCTGTAAAAAGAAAGAAATTCTCCCCGACTTGTGAGATTTCCCTGTTCCCCTATCAAAGCCTAACAGTGCTGCAGTGGCCCTGCTCTGCCCCACACATCTCATATCAGAAGCATTTTTGATTCCCAGTTGAAACAGGTCCTGCTAACAGAACGAGGGGATCTCGTCAAAGCGTTTCAGCTCGCTCGCCCGGTGTGGTGGGAGGTATCAGCGAGCCCCGGAGAGCCCACCGTACAGATTACCAATGCCGCCTTTGATCTTTCCTGCAGCAAATTCTTCTTGCYGCTTTGCTTATTGTCCGCATATTTTCAGTCTGAATTTATTTAAACTTCTGTGAGCAATCCCTGTGTGGCTGTTTCCTGCCGTGCGCGTTGTGGGTGAAGACAACAAAGACTTGGTGGTTTTCATTAGGAAAAGCAGCAGTGTTTTTTTTTTMTTTTTTAGAAAAAAGCRGCCTTCATTTTTGTCATTCTGTTGGTTCTGACACTCTGTATGCCACTGAACGTCTCTCAGCGCTGCTGTGCCCTCATGCTTCCTAGAAATAATTGAACTCTCACCAAGGGAAATGAGGGTTGTAAACTAAAAATCCATTGTGTTTAGAAATCTCCGACATTGTTGCTGGTGGAAACACTTTCCTCTAAGACTTGGAAATGAGAAATAACAATGCTGCTTTACAGTCTTCCTGTTTTAGGAATAGATTTGGTCTGCTGCAKACCTCACACTGCTCAAAAATCAGAACCATAACTCTGCTTACTTTCTTGACACATCAATGAATTGACTGCATGGTTAGCTTTACTTATCTGCTGAAAACATGGGGCCATAAGGTTTCAATTCATCAATAATTAAAGGAAGGCCTGGCATCAGTAAAAGGAATTCATGCACAGAAAAATCATCTTATTGTGAAAAGGGACAGAGTTATAGCTTATTAATGCCGTTTTACACAGTCTCATGTGATATTATTAGTTGTGTTAGTRCTCAGAGTACATGYTGGGAATGACTCTACTGCCAYCACATCAAATGTTAGCTCAATATATGTGAAATTACCTAAGCTATAGCCATTTTTATTTTGCTAATGTCAATACAACGCAGCAACCATCTTGGATTGGAATAACTTCAAAAATAACCCCATATAGATGWACACGCAGTGATTACTTTCTGAGAACTTTAATAAAATCTAAAAAGTCTAACAGCACAGACAAACAAACACAGACAGAGGTAAAAGCAGATTTAACGTTGATGCCAGGCACAAGTACAGAAATACATCATGTCAGTCTCAAATATGTGTTATAAACTCTATAGAACAAGTTCCTCTTCAGATTTTTTATTACTATTTTTTAAATAAAAAGAACATGGCCCTGTTTTGTTTTTTCAGGTATTGCTGTGCTTGAGGGTCCCATGTATGCTGTAGGAGGCCATGATGGCTGGAGCTACCTGAACACGGTGGAGCGCTGGGACCCCCAGGCCAGACAGTGGAACTATGTGGCCAGCATGTCCACTCCACGGAGCACCATGGGAGTCACCGCGCTCAATGGAAAGTACGTTCTTTTGACTTTCAATAAGTCATTATTTTTTTCTTTCTTTTTTTGTCAAAGTTTGTAACCGTGAAACAATAATTTAATTTCAATTACACTGTTTTGCTCATTTTTCCTTTCAGCYACAGTTTTTGCAGTTTGTAAGTTTAAGCTACAATGTTGTTAATTTTAGCTGTTTTCCTTTAAAAAAACTACAAAATCATTCAGCTGTCACAATTCATCGCATTTTGCGTAAATGTTCATTCATCCATTTTTTTGGTTGTCTGTTTTTGTGATATAGTTTGTTGGTATTATTTCAATTTCATTGGGCTTTTTTTTCATAAATCACAACTGCTACAAGTAACAGTAAACAAAGTTACCATTTTTTCTATAAATTTTTATGATTTGCAAGCTAATTTGCGCTTACAAAAAAAAGCTATATAAGTATTGAACACGTCACCATTTTTCTCAGTAAATATATTACTAGAGGTGCTAATGACATGAAATTTTCACCAGATGTTGGTAACAACCCAAGTGATCCATACATACAAAGAAATCAAACCATAAATGTCCAGAAATTAAGTTATTTGTAATAATGTGGAATGGCACAGGGAAAAAGTATTGAACACACTTACTGAAATTTATCTAATACTTTGTACAAAAGCCTTTGTTGTCAATGACAGCTTCAAGACGCCTCCTGTATGGAGAAACTAGTGGCATGCATTGCTCAGGTGTGATTTTGGCCCATTCTTCCACAAACAGTCTTTAAATCTTGAAGGTTTCGTGGACCTCTTCTATGAACTCTGATCTTTAGTTCTTTCCATAGATTTTCTGTTGGATTCAGGTCAGGTGATTGGCTGGGCCATTCCAGCAGCTTTAGTTTCTTTCTCTGAAACCAACTGAGAGTTTCCTTGACTTTGTGTTTGGGCTCATTGTCTTGCTGAAATGTCCAGCCACGTTTCATCTTCATCATCCTGGTAGATGGAAGCAGATTTTTATCAAGAATGTCTCTGTACATTTTTCCATTCATCCTTCTTTCAATTATTTGAAGTTTGCCAGTACCATATGCTGAAAATCAGCCCCACACCATGATGTTCCCACCTCCAAACTTCACTGTTGGTATGGTGTTTTTGGGCTGATGTGCAGTGCCATTTGACCTCCAAACATGATGTGTATTCTGGCATCCAAACAGTTCAATGTTGGTCTCATCTGACCAGACTATATTCTCCCAGTATTACACAGGCTTGTYTAAATGTTGTGCAGCAAACTTTAAAGGAGCTTCAACATGCTGTTTATTCAGCAGTGGAGTCTTGCGTGGTGAGCGTGCATACAGGCCATGGTGGTTCAGTGCATTACTTATTGTTTTCTTTGAAACAATCGTACCTGCTAATTCCAGGTCTTTCTGAAGCTCTCCACAAGTGGTCCTTGGCTCTTGGACAACTCTTCTGATAATTCTTTTCACTCCTCTGTCAGAAATCTTGTGAGGAGCACCTGGTCGTGGTCGGTTTATGGTGAAATAATGTTCTTTCCACTTCTGAATTATGGCCCCAACAGTGCTCACTGGAACCTTCAGAAGTTTAGACATTCTTCTGTAACCGATGCCATCATTATGCTTTGCAACAATAAGGTTGTGAAGGTCTTGAGAGAGCTCTTTACTTTTACCCATCATCAGATGGTTCTTGTGTGATACCTGGCCATCATTTGGGACTGAACCAGCTGATATTAACTTGCACTGACAAGGGGCAGGCTTGCTTTCTAATTACTGAGAGAGTTCAGCTGGTGTCTTGGCTTTCCATGCCTTTTTACACCTCCCTTTCTTCATGTGTTCAATACTTTTTCCCTGTGCCATTCCACATTATTACAAATAACTTCATTTCTGGACATTTRTGGTTTGATTTCTTTGTATGTATGGATCACTTGRGTTGTTACCGACAWYTGGTGRAAATTTCATGTCATTAGCMCCTCTAGCACCTCTATATTTACTGAGGAAAATGTTGACGTGTTCAATACTTATTTTACCTGCTGTAAATGCAAACATTTCAGACAGCACAAAAAGACTTATTCTTGAAAGTAATGAAAAGAGCATGCTAATTATCAGTACAGTTATATAACTTAAACTGCTCTGTACAAAGAAAAACTGAACCGGAGTATTACAGCACTATYCGTTTGACAACTTCATTCTTCGGGAGTCTTTGTGGTCTGAGATGAACTCTAATGTGGCTCTGTAATAGTCACCAGCTCAGAGCAAAGACAGCATAATCATACGGTGTAATCTCAACTCCATTAAAAGCAAATCGCTCCCTTTATCTGGATGTGTGAGAAGTATTTTAGCACAATGTGTTTGTTAAAAAGACAACCAGCTCTCAGGCCAATTTGAAAATGCACTTGTGATGAGGGTGAAAAGAGGCAGCTGCTCAGYTATATCTAATTTTCACTGTTAAGATGATAATTTGTTTTCAGTGAGATCAATAACAAAAAAAGAAACAGATTTTTTTCTTGTATTTAATTTCAAGATGTGGAGTCTATAAACTATAAGCAATGACTAACGTAAAAAATACCTTAATGGAAAGGCTTTTTGGAAACTGCTCTCCAGTCCACATTTTCCTTTTTTTATCACTACTGTTTTATTTTCCCCAAGCATCTTTTGCTCTCATCAAGCAGCACACTTTGCCAGCTTTCCAACATTTCCTTCGCTCTCTCAGGCTGTTTGCAGTCGGCGGGCGGGATGGCAGCTCGTGTCTGAGGTCGATGGAGTCTTTCGATCCGCACACCAACAAGTGGAGCATGTGTGCGCCCATGTCCAAGAGGAGAGGAGGCGTTGGCGTGGCAACGTACAACAACTTCCTGTACGCTGTAGGCGGACACGATGCTCCTGCTTCCAACCACTGTTCCAGACTCTCCGACTGTGTCGAGAGGTCAGTAGTAGGCTCCAGAGAAACCAAAGCTGCATTTCGATTGCTCTATTTGGAGCTCGGTAATGGCTTCTCTTTCACACCATTGTAAAAGAACAGCTTCAGATCTCTGCTGTTATCTTGTCTTTAGGGACATTTATATTTTAACACTTTAATTCATGAAGAAATCAATTTCACAGCATCTGGTGCCATCTAGTGGACACTTGATCTTACAGTAAGGTACAAACCTTCCTGTGTCCAGTCTTTGCCCTTTACTTTGGCGATCCTTGGTGAAATTTGGCTGCCTCAATATATTTGATAAAAAAATTATAATACATGTATCAGCAATTAATGCCACAACACAACTTTTYATCAACTTGATTTTTATGAACAGTACAAATTTAGAGTCTGGAYCATAATCTGTTTTGTCTTCTGACTCTTTCTCCTTTTTTGCTTTTTTCATGTCAGGTTCCTAGTTTTTTTCTCATTATGATGAAGATGTAATTGCCTAATAGTAGTATATTGATAGTTAGTTGTTGTGATGCCACAGAATAAAAAGTGAACAAAACCTAAAAAAAACTTTTTTACCACTGTGACAAGAAAAGTTCATTATAAGATTCCACCAATGCTGCGATTTTTTTTAAGCATATTGACAGGAGTGGTTTCAATGTGAGGAGAAGGTTCTGTTAGGGACACATTCCCACAGGTGCTGTCATGTATACATGTGTGAGAGTGTGTGTCCAGCCATAAACAAAACCTCCTGGGGGTGTGGGAAAAGAATTATGTCCATCTGCTGAAGTCAGTTTTATACACCTCACACAGTCATTTCTAATGATTGCCCATTTTGACCGGGAACACCAAGGATGTGACAAAATTAAATGAAACACTTGGGTTTTAATGGAAATGATCAAAATTGTATTCTGTCTGTTCAGATGACTTGTCTAATTAAAGTAATAAAAGCTAAAAAAAATCTGATTTTTAGCCAAAGAAAAAAAACTTCTTAAACAATAAGCTTTGACCAGAACACCATGATAAGAAAAAAAAAAAGAAAAAAATATACTGTATAATCAAATGAGCCATTAAAGATAATAAATACTAAATGTTATTGGAGCATTGAAACATGTTTTTTTTCCTTTATTTGAGACTTTGAATTTGTAGGTTCACAGACCTGATGACTGTCTGGAGATGACAAGATAATTTCACTTTAAACAATATTTGACTTCAAACAATTAGGTTCAAGTTATTTCAACAAGTGTCTTGTTTTTYTAACATTAATTATGCCAAACTGTTGACACTTTTTGACATTTTTGATTAAGCGCTATTAACTATTTCACAGTTAATTAGTGCCCTTTTAGATAATTATTCTGTTCAAATCTGATGCCAAGCTAAGACAGATTGTATTACTTCATTGTTAGAAATGAAGCGACTGAATCAAAAAACGTGGGYAATATTTGGTTGTATGCATACATTTTACCTATTGCTTTTAGCTGCCATTTTGCTACTTTTACCTTTTAGCTACTGTTGCCAATTATAGCTTATGTTTAGTTTATTTTAACCTGAACATCTGTTTAGCTACAGTTTTGCTTAACAAAGCATCCATTTCACTCATTTTACTATTTTTAGTTTTTAGCTTCTTTTACCAGGTGTATTGCTCATTTTAGCCTCTCCTGCATGTTTTACCTTTAACAACTCGGTTTTAGCTTCATCAGCAATTTAGTTTTACAAAGTTCATTCACATTGCATTCAGAAGAAAATACAAGTTCTCTCATTCACTTTGAGTTTTCTGTCTGTGTAGAAAAGAAATCAAAGCAAACCGATTCACTTTTTTTTTTTTTGACGGCAGGTATGATCCAAAGACGGACACGTGGACCACCGTGTCCTCTCTCAGCATTCCCCGGGACGCGGTGGGGGTTTGCTTGCTGGGCGACAGGCTTTACGCAGTGGGCGGATACGATGGCCAGTCGTATYTGAACACTGTGGAGTCGTACGATGCACAAAACAACGAGTGGACCGAGGTAAAACAAAAATCTCTGTTTCGTTTATTGCCGCACATTTGAACATTATGTGCCTTATGGTGTCCTTGCGGGGTAAATAAAAAATGTTACTGCGCAAAWTCTGTCTTTGAGACTCTAGCTTCTTACATGGAAAATGATTCAGCTGTATTTGTAGCTGTTCCGCAAGAAATACTTTCATGTAAGATTAAAGCAGCAGTTAACATCCCACAGGAACATAAATCTGTTGAAGTTACTAAAGCCTATCAATATTTTATAGTGGATTTTCTTTTTAGCATTAATCCCCCTCCCCCAATCTTGGCAGTCTAACCTTCTTATCTGCACCAAACGAAGTGAGAGTTTTTCTTTTAACAGTCTCAGATGCAAAGCTGCATGTTAACCTCTCTCTCTTCCTGTAGGAGGTCCATCTTAACATTGGAAGGGCAGGCGCCTGCGTGGTGGTGGTGAAACTGCCTTGAGCCTTGTTTTTTTTCCCTCTCGCAACAGCATGAGAAACAAATGAGAGAGCAGCAAAGAGGACTGGACAAACAAAACAACAGATTGAGGACATTCCCTCCGAGAGTCAGATTTTCCTTTTTTTTYCCCCTTTAACTCGGCTCTGCAGATTTTTCAGAGGGAAACACAGACAGAGCCTTGCTCGAACACCATTGTTTCTATCATTAGTGGACAAGTTTGCCCACTGGGTACGACTTGAAGGACTGGAATGCGCTGCACATTCTCTACATTCTCACCCGATTAGGAATTTTCATAAACTTGACCAAGGCTTTGGCAAATCCTTGCCAAGATGTTGCTGTTCTACTTTGTTACGCTAGTTTTAGAAAAGTTTATGTGAATGTCGAACAAAAAGTTACATTTTGAGGAAAATCAAACCCAGCTTCGTGTTAGTTTACACATATACACAAACATTTCTTATCAGTGCCATCTCACACAGTATATTTTTTGGCCTCAGATGACTCTTTATAAAAAAAAGAAAAGAAAAGGAAMTTGTTATACACTGTAACTGTGTTTTTTTCTACAAGAGTGGTCTGACCAGATTGTTACTACTCAATGATTAAGACCACTGTGTTGAAGACTGAGGGTGGGGGTTTGGGTTAGGAATGGTTTGATGTACAGGGATATTTTTTTCTTTGAGCCTGTAGCAACAGAACACCAAAGTTATTCATTTGTCTCATATGTCTTGTTTTGCATCAAACGAAGGTTTACAAAGTTGTGAATCACAGAAAATATATCATATTGATATTTCATAATGCTGTACAGATTTTTTGTTGACACTGTATTTGTGAAATCCTGTCTGAGACCCCGTCTACACTCCTCCAAATACTGTGCTTTATTTTTCTCCACACGTTCCAACAAAAACAGTGTAATGCTCATGCCCAGCCACTAGGTGGCAACAATATTAACATTAAAGACATATCCAGGTACAAAGAAACAACATTGGCTGAAGATTTTCCCAAAACGTATTTCGTTTCTTTGATGCTRTTTACAGTTTTCTCTCAGTTCTTAATGATTTAAACACATGAACAATAGTTTGATGATAGGATCTGGATAAAACAAAGTAAACTTAGTAAAAACAGCTTAATACTTGCAGTGTCTCTAGGGCAAATACTATTAGAGGTTATGTCCAAAACAGAATACTACATCCACATTTGTGAAAAAAAATTGCATGTCCACACAAAGTCACAAGAAATATAGAAATACATATTTTTAAAATCTCAATTTTAGAAAACACTTAAAAAATGATAAGTTTTTCACACCAAAAAGGGCATTTTTTATTAGAGTAGTGTGGACGGGGCCTTAAAGCAATAGTTCAGACATTTTGTGTAAAAGTTATGAACAATTAATWACATACTTGTTGTAGACGACTTCAATTTAGTACAACAGAGATAAATTCTGACTGGATCAAGGATCTCACAGCTGGTAAACTGAAGCTAAAGCTACTACCCATTAAAAATAAAAATCCTCAAATATTTCATAACAGTCAATGTGAATGCGATTTTATTCACGTTTATTTCACCATTTGTCTCACATTAGTTATTCCAGCTTAAATATTTTTGCAATTTCTGCTGGACATACCAGAGTTGCTTAGGCTAGCCATGCTGCTTATTGTGTTCACAAATAACTACAGAATCCTACGTAAGAAAAGCAATCATGCAAAACTGATTGCAATGTAATGGTTTATAAACTAGTGTTCAGCTGTGATAATTTGAGATTTGAGTTGGTTTAAGATGTTACCAATCCATTTGGGCTTTTAGCCATCAGGCTCAAACTACGACTATTTAAAGAGTTATCAACAGGTAAGATACTCATTGTTCATAACTTTTCCACCACACCCCACTTCAAAACATGTGAACTGTTGTTTTAATCTTCACTGTACGATGACTAGAATCAKTCATTTGATTTTCTTCTGCTAGCTAAGGAAATGCTCTCTCACACGAAACACTTGATTTCGGGAGCATTTTTTTTTGCGGTGTTGTTTGATGTCCAGCTCATAAATATAAAATATTATTAACTCACTGACGATGAAAACAATTTGTAACCATATGAATAGTATGTTTTTGGGGCCAAATATTGCTTTTTATGTTTTTATCATACTTTTGTACAGCATGAAAGCGAATAAATAAACTAACATCAGTCTTCTCTGCACGATGACGTTCTTGGAGTTGTTGTTATGCACCAGGCAGGATTCTGTTTCTATCCGTTCTGCTGTCGCTAAACAAAAGCAGATCTAAAGTAAACAGAGCAAGCATTAACTTTAGTTATGTTCTTGCTGTAGAGCCCACTTCTTTAATCAAGAGTGCATGTTTGTTGACATCGCTCTTCTCTTCTTCCTCTCCCAGCAGCAGACYGAGGACCAACTGTTTCTGTTTGCCTTTTATTTTCTTTCATTGTTTACCCTCCGAATAGTCCTTTTCACTCCAGCATCGCTTCGACAATGTTTGATGAGATTTTGATTGTTTTTTGCGGTCAAAATTATGGATTATGTGTCCTCACATGAAAGTTTAATTCAGAAATCTGCCGGTGTTCGCAAAACATAAAATTCTGGACACGTTTCAGACCAGAAACACTTTTCTAGTGCATATCTCAAATGCTCTAAAGACAAAGGTGGTTTCAACTGAATCCATTGGTCAATATACAAACACTTATTTCAACGTATTTAGCACTCATCTAATGCAGTCAAGCTACATATATTTGCTTGATTATAAAAATGGCCATTTTAGTCAATTTTTCAAACCTTCAAAGACCTGTTGGAAGTGAGAGCATGTGGTCTGACTTGGTCTCTGCCGTTATCACATCAAATTGTTGAGTCACTGTGGCGGTCTTAAATAAGGTAGACTCCAAAAGTTGATCAGATGTTCAACTTTCTGAGAGTTTCACTGAAATTTGTTCGGTGGTTTTTGAGAAATYTYGCTAACAGACAAACTGCGTTGATTCTAACATTTAAAGTGCCTGTGACATGCATATCCTACAAATACAAAAAGTCAAAGAAAACATCTATATATTTAAGATACTTAACACATTGCATAATTTTACACATTTTGCCACATAACTGACCTTTTTTTAATTCACCTCAGTCAAAATGCAACAGGAAGTGACATCAAAAGAAACGTTTAAAGAAAGASAAGTCTCTGGTCTTTGTTTAATAAAACAGTATTATCTGAACTCCACTTGTCTTTCTCAAAATACTCAAAATACTCTGAAATACTCTAATGAAACATCCGATTCTTCTCTACAGTTTGCATTGTCGGCCTATGTAGCTACGCTTTGTTCACATGCTGTCATTCCTCTTTGACATCACTTCCTGTTATTCACATGTGAATATCCAAACAACTGTTCATCTCAGCAGTGTAAATTTTTCTTTTGCCACATATTCTCAGTGTTGTCTTTACAAAAACATATTCATATTTATTACAAAAATTGGATGTCACAGGCACTTTAATGTCAAGGTTTTAAGCAAATAAACTGCAGTGTTAAGCAAAAAGTATGTGTTTGATTAAACTTTCAGCTTTTAGTTCAGCATCTGTAAAAGTCTGAGTTTTTGTCTTCTTGAGAAAATGCTTATACAATGTTAAACATATATCCAATAACTTCTTTCTAAGGGTTATAACCATATTCGTTCAGCGACTCATGAGATATTTTGCTAATAGTACAGACAAACACAGGCAATAATTAAAATAAGAGGTCATGGCATCTCTAATAAAAGCTGTGTCATTTTTGCTTTTTGTAAATGCAGCAATCTTGCATGCATTATTTTTAGAATTCCTTTTCAAAACATTTTTAGCTGTTCAGTATGACGTACATGTCTGGAAATAAATTGTTTTTTTTCTTTTCCTTCTTTTTACTTCTCAGAAATAATTTCTGGTTAAATATAACTTTTCTACAGCATCTTTGTGATGCACCACTGATGTTTTGAAATAATCCGTGTTTTTAATTACAAATATGACAACTTTGTGACATAGTGGAGCAGATCACAGTATGTCAAATTTTCAGTAATGCCTGTCAAAGAAAATCACTGGAAGCAATGCATTTCAGTGGAGATGCCCAGCATTATTTACCACTAAATGTGTTTCTTTCAACATCTTAACAAATTTTTCTGCAGCCTGAATAGAATTATTCACAATACACTGACTTTAGTAACTCAGAGATGTGATATTACTTTTGGCCAGAGGTGTATAAAATATTTCAAAAGAAGATAGAATAGAATAGAATAGAATAGAATAGAATAGAAACATCCTTTATTGTCCCGCGCGGGGAAATTCAGGTTTAGTAGCAACAGCAGATACATCAATCCACAGAAACAGTATATTGCTATGTGACCTTATCATTTGGAGCAATAATAATAGAATTAAAGATAGTAAAAATACAAAATAAACACAGGTCAAACAAAAGTAAGAATAATCATTACTGTAATGGGCTATCAAGATGAAATTGGATAAAAATGAAAAATAAGGCAAGATACTGTGCAGAAAAATATAAATTACAGGAAAAAGACAGTCATGASAGACTCATGATCTGAGGGGGTGTGAAAAATGAGTCGAATTCAGTCATTAAGTCCAGTAAGGGAAAAAACGATGTACATTTGCCACTGGTTATTATTTATGTAATGACTGAGAGGTAGAGTTGTTTGATGTGCAAACACAGACATGGGTGCTAATCGAGATTGTTGGGAGCAGTGTTGGTTGTAGAGTCTAACAGCTGATGGGAGGAATGATCTGCGGTAACGCTCCTTTGTACATTTAGGATGCAGCAGTCTGTCATTGAAGGAGCTCTGCAGATCAGCCACAGTTCCAAACAAAACTATCAAAATAAAAGTAAAAATACCTTATAATGATTTTGGTAAAAATAAATTTCACTGATAAGAAAAGCACTAAAGTAAAAGTCTTGAAGCAGCTCACAATATTCGCTAAAGTAAAAGTACTTTTACACACACTCTAACAAAGGGTCGAAGTGTCGAATTTACTTAACTAAGTTATGTCAACTGTTCCACTAAACCAAGTTGAGAAAATTTCTTTACATCTACTCATCTCAGTTTAGTGGAACCTGTTGACGTAACTCGGTTAAGTAAATTCAGCGCTTCATTGTTTAGAGTGAATAAACAACTCGTTTCATGATGGGTTCAGTTATATTTAAATTTGTAGCTTGTAACTAAGTGTTAAACTTCAAATTACACAAGTAAAATAATCTTTTTTAATGTAACAAAATAAAAGTTAAAGTTACAATTAAAAAAATACTTGGTAAAATTACAGATACTCAAAAAAAAAATGATCGAAGTCCTCTAACAAAGTAAATGTACTCCCTTACTATACACCTCTGCTTTTAGTAGTATTTTGAGTTGCCATGGCAATGTATTTATTAAATAAAATTAAATCTGGTGCTTTTTTAAAAATATCTCATGAGTCACTAAAATTTAATAAAATTCTCAGAAGGTAATAACTGGATGTGCCTCTGCAACTGATAAGTCATTCCAATCCAAGATGGCTGCCACAGCTATTCAACTTATGACATAAAAATGACTCTAATGTAACAAATTTGAGCAATACTGAGCTAAAACCTGATATGGTGTAGCTGACAGTAATCTCTAACWCACACACTGAGAACTAACAAATGTAATTAGACAAGAATGAATTGTGTATATTTAATTAAAACACTTGGAAAGTATAACTCTGGATATTTGATATTCTTTAGTTTGAGTCCTTACCAGAATCCTCACTATGTAATCATATCATAAACTATCAAGAGAGGGTGCTGTTGCACTGCAGAGGACGAGCCATCCGCCACGAACACCAGATCAAAATCTCTAATACCATTAAGGTTCATAAAAAAATGTCAACTAGCATTAAGAATGCCAAGGACAAATACTTGAGCTAATAACCCTGCATAATTATCCAGACAAGATGATGAAATGTTGGGAAATTGGATGTTAAAGCATTTTATTCTGCTACTTTTAAATGAGCATCTTGCTGTGTTTTTAAAGGGAAGCATGAAGCTTGAACAAGATGAATTCTGCCCACAGAGATGATTTGTCAGGTTTTTAAAGGGAATTTTTGGCAACACAACATTTGAACAATATCTCATTATTGTATGACAAATCTTGACAGATTGTTGCACTTTTTTTCTTTTCCAACTCTACCACTAGCCTTTTGGAGGATTTTTTTCCCTTCTTCTTCTTTTTTATTACTGAAGGAGTCACGTTCTTATTTTATCTTTTTTTTTGACAGCAAACAGAGATGGAAAATGATGGAAGAAAGATGCAACAAACCAGCTTTGGTTTCAGAGTGTTTTACTGTACTGGTTTTGTAGATTTATGCAGAACGTAATATTTATCGCTCACTGCCAAAAGACGAAGGTGGACGATGATGCTTCTGCTCATGTTTACCTTTCTGATACCAAAATATATTTTCTTAATATTTTATTGATACAAGGATAAAATTTAGAGTGGTATGGCATGTGAAACAACACATGTTCTGAGCAGTAAAAAATGTTAAAGATCTTTCTTYAAAATGTTCACACTGATTTGAAGTCTGTTTGTCCATGCATCCATCATCTTTTACCTGCTCCTTCCTTTCAGGGTCAGGGGGTTCACTGGTGTCCATATCCAGCTGTCTCTGTGCAAGGGGCAGGGCACACCCTGGACATGACTTTTAGCAAAATATTTTATGAACCACTGGATGAATTTGATTAAAACACTAAAAATATATATATAATTTATTGTGTCTTTAAAACAGATTAAATTAGGAGCCAAATCAATTCAACACAGCCATCACATCCAATTACGCTTAAAAAAAACACAAAAATGACTCTTGGTCAATTTTACAGGTATTACATTTAAATTTTGTGTATTTGTGCCTGATGGTGCGTTCACACCGAACGCGATTTCAGCATCAGGAGCCTCAGGTTTACATACAAAGTCTATGGTGGACACGCTTCAAGCAACGGAAGTGCTGCGGCGCCTCAAGCGCGATTAGAGCAGCGCGATTTGAACGTTCTGAGCATTCAATGTGCTTGATGYGCAAATCGCTGAAGTTAGAAAATCTGAACTTTTGCAGCTCGACGCGCCGCGTCAACCAATCAGAGAGACTCCACTGTGTGACGTAGCGACATATTTCCAGATGGGACAGTTTACTGAATGATGTCCACTAACCTGAAAC